TCAAAATTACATTAAAAGTTTATTACAAACAGTTCCTGCGTATCTTGCTAACTTACTTCAAAATAAATTTCTTGTGGCATTATAGCTTTCAAAAAAGAAATATACACAAAACAAAAACACTTTCAGGTCACACTCATGAAAATAAACATTCATGCAACAAGCCTCAGGATCTGTAGCATTACTTTTGACACTTCCTAACAGCTCAGCACGGTGAACATAGCTGGAATGTGATAGGTAATGCCACGACTGTTGACTCCATTAGCCAATGAAAATCACAATATGAAAATATAACTCACAAAACAACTAACCACTATGCTCTATTTTGGCAATGGAGGGGAGAGAGAGAGGAGGGAGGGAGGGAGAGGGAAGGGGGGAAAGAGACGGGGAGAGAGGAAGAGAGGGGGGAGAAGAGAGAAACACTATCATCTGCTATTTTGGTAATGGAAGCGATCCCATCCCACGAAGAGAGGGGTGAGAAGAGAGAAACACTATGCTCGGCTATTTTGGCAATGGAGGCGATCCCATCCCACGTATGCTCGGCTATTTTGGCAATGGAGGCGATCCCATCCCACGAAGAGAGGGGGGGGGGGAAGAGAGAAACGCTATGCTCGGCTATTTTGGCAATGGAGGCGATCCCATCCCATTATCACTATGACCAGAATTCCCCCAAAAGCTCAATTCCCCAGATGTACCCCCAAATGCTCTAAACAGTCATGATCTGGTGTTAAAATCCCCAGAAGCGAAAGTTGTGCTTAGGTCGCATCTGGCTTTGTTGCTGACTGCGGAGTGAGTGTATCCATTTTTATATTTGCATTCATATTTTTTGAAACGAGTAAAGGCATGATAAATAGAGAGAGAAAGAAAGAAAAAAATTCAATGGATGATACAGGACTTATACGCGATTACTCAGTTTTGTCTTTTTCAGCTTTACTCTTGCTGACTGCGGAGTAAGTGTTGCCGTTTTTTTATATTTATAATTGTATATTTTGAAATGATGAATAAAAGCATTTGTAAATCAATTTCTAATCAACTTGTATTTACCTTAAGCAAAAGTAAAGAAATAGTCGGTTCAAACAGCTGGCAATATTGTACATGAGGCATCTATATTTCCCTCCGTAATTTTGTACTAACCATAAAGTTTATGTCCTATGATCATCATAAGTGCTCTGTTAGTCACAGGTTTTAGTGTTACAGAAATGCGTGTTTGAGCGTGTTAAGGTGCTGTCACATTAGCACTTTTTCCGTCATTTTTTTTTTTACAATTTTATTTAACATAAATACAAACATTCTCGAATATAGCTCTTAATTAATATGACTATGTTTGGCTAAAAAAGTTGACGGAAAGGTTTTCAGACTGAAACGACCATTATTGTCTGACCGGAAAATCGACAATTCGCTCAAAAATGGACAAAATTTCAGGAAATTGACGAAAAAAGTGCTAGTGTGACAGCACCTTTGCGAGTCCTTACATTAATGAAAAAATAGTCCGTTTGTAGTGTATGGCAATAGGATTGCCGGGGTTACTATCCTTTGGTAGTGCGGGATTTGAAGGCTACCTCTACATCACACTGCAGACAGAGGGGGATGGAAGGAAGAAAGGAGAGAGAGATGGAGGGAAGGGAGAGAGGGATGGAGGGAAGAAGGGAGAGAGAGATGGAGGGAAGGAAGAGAGGGGTGGAGGGGAGAGAGAGATGTAGGGAAGGGAAAGATGGATGGAGGGAAGAAAGGAGAGAGAGATGGAGGGAAGAAAGAAAGAGAGATGGAGGGAAGGGAGAGAAAGATGGAGGGAAGAAAGGAGAGAGGGATGGGGGAAAGAAGGGAGAGAGAGATGGAGGGTAGAAGGGAGAGAGGGATGGAGGGAAGAAAGGAGAGAGAGATGGAGGGAAGAAGAGAGAGAGGGATGGAGGGAGAGAGAGAGGAGAAGAGAGAGAAGAGAGAGAAAGGAAGAGAGAGAGAGAGAGAGAGAGAGAGAGAGAGAGAGAGAGAGAGAGAGAGAGAGAGAGAGAGAGAGAGAGAGAGAGAGAGAGAAACAAGGAGATCGTACAGGTCTTATACACGATCACGTCACTTAGTCGCGTTCGCTTTATTCTTGCTGACTGCACGGTGAGTGTGGCCGTTTTCCTATTTGTATTCCTATATTTTGAAATAATGAGTAAAAGCATTTGTATGTAACTTGTATTTAACTTAAACAAAAGTAAGAAAATAATAGTCGGTTCAATCAGCAGGCAATATTGTACGTGAAGCATTGATATGTCCTCCCTTAATTCTTTACTAACTATAAAGTTTATGTCCTATAATTATCTAGAAAGAGAGAGAAAAAAAATCCGTGCATGAGTTTTGTTCTATGTTTTATTTTTCTTCTTTCAAAATGTTATAGAAATGCATCTTGTGTGTGTTATGAGTGTTCTTATGCGGATGATAAGTTAGTCAAAGGTTTTAGTGTTATAGAAATGCGTTTTCGAGCGTTTTATCAGTGTTCTTACGTCGATGAGAAGTTAGTCTAAGGTTGTAGTGCATGGCATCATCACAGAATCACGGTTGCATGGTTCGTCAGCACAGTTCTCATGCACTGAGATCTCACTTACGTGTCAGCGAGCGAAGCGTAAGGTCATTCGACAACTCTCTCGTCCTGAAGATGTAAGTATATACCGAGTTATGGTGTGTGTGTGTGTGTGTTGTGTGTGTGGGGGGGGGAGAGTAATAATTAGTTAATAATTGATGTTGATAAATACCTCCGCCAAGAAGTTTTTTTATGATTTTTTAAATGAAACTTTCACCAAAGGTGTGTCTTCGCCTAACGTTGATGCCATTAAATGTTGGTGTTGACCCGGATCATGTTCTGGATATTTTCCTGGTTACAGTTGGAGCACAAGAGTCAGTACATTTAATAAATACATCATTGAGAATCTGCACCTGTGAATTAACATCATCACAATGTAAGATATTACCAAGTGTTGGGAATTCGTTCAAAAGATTACAAAAGTTGTCTCTGCTATAGTTTATCATGCATCGAAAAGTATGAAACACTGGCTATCTCTTTGGTTTGCATATGTTTAGAGTTGGAGGCAATTTCGAAGTTAAATATGACCTCAAGTTTGTTTGTAATTATAAGATATATGTGTGTTGCAGAGGTGGGAGTTATTCTGGTAGGTCTACCTACGACCCGAGTTAAATGCAGATTCTTTTTCTTTGCAAGTCTACTCATTTTGTTGCCTGGCGCTAATTTAATTAAAATCCCCTACAATAATAACAGACTTTGCGTAAGCAAATACTCCGTAAACAATCTGAAATACATGTAAAGGACGGAGCATGAGGATGGCGGTAGATGCGACCAAAAATAATTGAAGGTAATTTTCTACACTGGATGTTCACTCATATATCTTCAACGGCTTCCGTTAAATCAACACCTATACTAATTTCGTTAGATTTAAGATATGGACATTGTTTACGTTTAGTTTTCAACAACCTAACTACATTAATTACTTTCCATTTTAAAACACATTTTGTTTACATAGCCTGTACCAAGTCTAAAGTTTAGTTGGGTTGGTATTATTGTTATTCCGTTACTAGAACTCTATTCTTTCACACACAACTATCTCCACAACATCGTTCATCTTTTTAAGTCTAAGATTAGGGATCCCAAGTTATCTAATATTTCATCTGCACTCACGTTCTCCTTCAGTTCGTGGATCCCACAGCACAAGATACATCTGGCTAGAGTCCATTCCAAGCTTTCGTCGATCCAGCACTGCGTAAGGTCCTCAGTCGCTCCATTGATAGTCCTGATGGAGCAGTCTGAGATACCTGCACCCTCAACGTTGCTCAGGTTCGTGCCACCAAGTAGTAGTGTTTTCTTTGGCGTTCGAAGGAAGAAGAGAGAGAGAGAGAGAGAGAGAGGTGTGTGTGTGAAAGGGAGGGTAATAATAATTATTTACAATTTACATATTTTTACAATATGCTTTTGTGTGTGTGTGTGAAAGGGAGAGAGTAATAATGATATTTATTTACAATTTACATATTTTTACAATATGCTTTTGCAGCACATAAATTACTGACATTCCTATATGATACACTATATGTATCGCTACAAAATTATAGTTAACAATGGCACCCCGGGGAATGATTTTTAAACTCGTCCTGCGTTGAAATAGCTATAGATTTTCTAACGGGATAAAAATCACATCCGAAAAGAATCGTGATGTTATACAGTACGTGTAAAACAAACAAAGAAACAAACAAATAAAAAAGCCGTAGGTATCGCCAACACTAAACCTATTCTCCTCATCCCAATTAGGAATGTCAGGTTTGATGCTTTACTAAACCTGGTGTGCGGAATATGTGAAGAGAAGAAACTACGACCGTCGATGAAGTACACCGCCGGAGGAACCCTCGCAGTAGCTCTTACAACAGGCGTCGGAGTTCTCCTATTTGGCCCCGTGGGCTTCTTAGCAGGTAGCTATGTTTCATGCTATAACATAATTACTGCCACTACTACTAATATTCATAGTTGTTCATAACGAAAATAAAAATGATAATAACGATGATAATAAAGATGATGACAATAATAATAATGATTAATAAATAATTAGTGATAATAATAAAGATTATGACAATAATAATAATGATTAACAAATAATTAGTGATAATAATAAAGATTATGACAATAATAATAATGATTAACAAATAATTAGTGATAATAATAAAGATTATGACAATAATAACAATGATTAACAAATAATAAGTGATAATAATAAAGATGACAATAATAATAATGATTAACAAATAATAAGTGATAATAACAAAGATGACAATAATAATAAGGATTGACAAATAATAAGTGATAATAATAAAGATGATGACAGTAATGATAATGATTAACAAACAATAATAGTGCTAATAACTAGAAGCACTTAAGAGACCTCATACGTGAAGAATTACATTAAAATCACCTCTTTCTCAAGTACACTGGTGATTAAGGCACACTTGATAACTTTTTGAATTATCCTGCTGACCAACTTACCAACAAACTAACCAACGCTACCAAAAACAGAACCTTACTTACATAGATCTCGTGTCTGTGAGTGTGTGTGTGTGAGTATGTGTGTGTGTGTGTGTGTGAGTATGTGTGTGTGTGTGTGTGTGAATGTGTGTATGTGAATGTGTGTGTATGTGTGTAAGGTCTATATAAGCACTTATTTAGATCTTGTGTGTGTGTACGTGTGTGTCTGTGTGTGTGAATGTGAATGTGTATTTATGTGCAAATGTGAATGTGAGCGGACAATGCCTGCCTGTCTTTCAATCTGGAATTCTCCCTCACAGGCAGCGCAACGGGCGGTCTGGTGAGCTTCCTCTATACACGAGGGAAGTTCAAGAGCGCCGCACGCATCATCATGGAAGACCTGACCCCGGAGGAGAGGGAGAGGCTCCTCATGAGAGTGAAGGTGTGGCCCCTGGCATTTGTTGTAACATAGAAGTAACCATAATGGTTACTTCTATGTTTTTTTTTTTTCATGAACATTGTCCCCATCATCGTAACTGCAATTTGTCTTGGCTTTCCTCTCATTCTCAATATCTGTGCCATCCACATTAGAACTGGATATATAAAGAATTATGGAGTATAAGAAAAATCGTCCACTGACAACATATGGCAAATCATAAGAAATATCTGATAAGTACGGCTACAGGGTGTTCAAAAATTTGCCAAGTAGCAGGCTACCTCGGTCCAAGCAGGGGGCTGCCGTGTGCCGGGCAACGCCCGACAGCCGAACGCCGAAGGCGCGAGGCGAAGCGTTTCGGGGGTGAAATTTTGAAAAATGCAACGCCTCACATGCATTTTCTGCGCATCTGAAGACAGTGCTTATGAATGGTGCGTAAAATAGATTTTTCTTTATTGTCCTGCTAAAAGGCCAACAGACGGGTGCCGGCTACTTTTGAACACCCTGTGGCAAACTGTTCTTTCATGATCAGTAAGACATAATATATGCATTGTGCTTGTATTTAGATATTCCCATTTCACTGAAGATTATTTGTTATGCTTCTATTAGGCTTGTAAGACAATTATAAGGACCGTCAAATTAGTAATTCCTTCGCTTCCTTTTAGGGTGTCCTCGAAAACTTTGGATACACTGTCGTGAATTCTGAGAACTTCAGTCAGCTCAGAGGGCCCATAGCGTCGGAAATCGCCGCTATTGTCAAGGCATTCCTGGAGGCTGAACGCGGCTTGACCTTACGAGCCATGAATGCCTAAGAGGCTACTCGGTGAATGGTGAAAACAGATGTTTCTTTCCTGTTTGAATTTGTTGGCGAAGATGGGTTCGCCGTTGGCACTCCTGTTGGAGATAGGGATTATTATCTGTTTGAGGCAAGATTGAGTAAAAAGATCTTTTTAAATAATAAACAAGTAAAACTGTAATTATTGTTTAATTTGATACAGATGTCAGCATATAAGAATATAGAATGGGGCTATTGAGTGATAATCGAATTTAGATATTACAAGCTAAAAAGTTCCAAAAAATCACATTTCTCAAATACCCTTTTTGAGTTCATAACTGGACCCTATTTTAAGGCAAAGTGTCTTTCTGATGAAGGCAGGAGTCACGCTGCACATTTCTACATTTGTCGCAAGGAATACGGTTCAAAATAGTGGATTTTTGTCGTCAGTATATAAGCTGGACCTACTTTTTCTGTTAGGGAAACTGACCCAATATCTACCTTATTAGGATAGGAAATATATCCTTGTTGACATTTTTTGCTAAAGACGGTGTTACAATCCGAGTTGAGGCGAGTCGTAGGGAAAATATTTTTTTTTTCTTTACATTTTGATATGGAAAGTAGAAAAAATATTTATGACGAGTGAAATCGAGATGTTTGCCTGGTTTGCAACTGAAATAGTCTTTAAATTCTTATATCTGTCTCGCTTCCGCTCTTTCTTTTCATCTTTTCTTCCACGTCCACCCACGCAATTATTTCTCCTCTTTCCCTCTAATCTCTTCTTCCATCTCATTCTCTTCCTCCTCGTCTTTTTCTTCCTCCACTTTCCCGTACCTTCTTTGCTTCCTATTAAAGGCCAAACCCATAACCGAAAGCCTCTCTTCAGAACATTAAGCATGAATGAATTTGACACACCCTTTATGAATGCCAGAGGTCGCCTTTGCTCTCACTGCACGTAGTAAGACCCTGTTCAGACGAGCGACTTTAGTGGCGCGACTGCTAGAAGCGCGACTGCCAAGTCAATGGAAATGAATAGCCACTAGTGTGTGCGCACCTATTCACTTCTATTGCCCTGGCAGTCGCGCTTCTAGCAGCCGCGCCATTAAAGTCGCAAGTCTGAATAGGGTCTAAGAGTCCGCGTGAAACCTTGATTATGTCTGTTGTTTGGGGGTTAAGATCACACATGAGCGAGAGATTATCATTATCATTATTGTTGTTATTATTATCGTTGTTATTATTACCACTATTATCATTTTGTTATTATCACTATCATTGTTGTTACTGTTGATATTATTATCACTATCATTATCGTTATTATTGTTGTTATTATTATCACTATCATTATTGTTTTGTATTATCACTGTCGTTATCAGTATTGTATTATTATTGTTATTATTATTATTATCGTTATCAATACCACTATCAATACCACTATTATTGTTATTGTTGATATTATCATTATCACTATCATTATTATTATTGTTGTTATTATTATCATTTTCATTATTGTTATTATTGTTGTTATTATTATCATCACTATCATTATTGTTGTTATTATAATTGTCATTATTACTATTATCATTATTATTTTTAGTTTAGCTTAGTCCTTTATTTACCACACTGGCTAACAACACAGGCTTGGGCAAGCTGTGGTACATTTGCATGGTCAAAACATTATATAATAGTATTACATTGGAAATCTAGATCATAACATCATCATTACGATCTATAATATATCATTTCAAAGAAAAGAACAATCACACAGTAATCCATCTACTCATCTACCAAGCCGGCGTACGGCTTGGGCATGGAAAGGCATTGTTACATTTGATATGTGTTCATGTGATACTACATTCCAGATTTAGGATACAGCATAAGTATATCTTCCAAGACATAAGATGATATGGAGTAGTTACATAGTTCCCCATACCTCATGCTAGGTGGTTTGAAAGGCTGTATTACATGACACTCTGAAATATGATGCTCAAGTGTTCGCTTATATTCTTCATTTCATAGTTTACACAGTTTCTTCAACATTACAGACTGTACTGACTTGCCAATACAATCTATATCCCAGCCTGATTCTTGCGGTCACAACATCACAGTTTTAATTCTTGTTTTATATAAACCATAGATGAATACATCTTGCATAAACCGGTCATAATGCTTTATGCTACAGCTTCAAGTCCTCTTTGAAGGAAGTTTTAATTATGTGTGAAATCCTAGCAAGAGGTACTCCAAGATCTATATCAACACTTTGCTTGTCACATGTTGATTTTGCCAGGCGGTCAGCATGGTCATGCTTGGGGATTCCAATATGCGATGGCATCCACACAAAATGTATGTCATGACCTCGTTCTTTTGCACGATACACATTTATCCTTATGTCATTTGCAGTATTTCCTGCACCTTTGACTAGTGTGTTCAAAGCCTGGAGAGCACTCTGCGAGTTGCAGAAAATTACTCTTGAGCTGTGATTTAATAGAAATTCGGTGGCTATGAGCATTCCTACTCAGTAATAACGCATCCTGCTCTACTCCCAGACCGTAAGAATCCATCATTGTAGCATTCATACGCATTGGGCATAGTCTCAAGATGCTCACTGATAATTGCCAAAGCATACTGCTTAAGTACAGCAGGGAGGGGGGGGCACTGTCTTTTTGGGGGGCAGTTGTATAAAATACACTTAGGACCGACATTTTCCACGGTGAAGTAGAACGTCCATGTAAGGTCTTAGATATGGGTATGTTCAACTGAAGTCAGTAATGTTGCCATTCAAAGTTAGCTCCACTATTCTATGTTTTAGTTGTCTTTGGGACTCTGTATAATTGCTCTGTAATATTGCTATGACGCTAAATGTGGTATTTATGTATAATATTCTTTCATAGACAGAAGGCAAATTAAGTTCTGTTCTTTTATTCACAATCCTCGTTTTAGGGGCACCGAGGATAATCCTCATGGCCTCATTTTGTACAATTTCTAAACTAGGCAACTCTGATTCCTTGTATAATACTAGGTGCAATGCATGATAATCTATGACCGATCGTATGTATGACAGGTAAAAGAGTCTAGCAATATTGACATTATTACCATGGTCTTTGCCGACAAGTGTCCTAAGTGGATTCAGCCGCTCCTACTGCCTTTTCTTCAGGTTTTGTATGAACTCTGCATCATTAACAACCACCCCCAGGTATATGTATTGGTGACAGAGATCTAACTCAAAGTCGTTGATGTGAAATCTTGGTAGAGGGATTGTCTTAGGGTTGTGCCTTGTTTTTTTCAGTCGATATGATCAAGCCACACTCTGTAGTCCTTGCTGAAAGTACATCAAGAATCTGTTGCATTCTCTCCTCGGATGAGGATTTAATACAAATATCATCGACATAGCAAATAATGGAGTCTTTGCCCTCAAGTGGTATATCGCCTAGTAATCTATGCATTAGGATGTTAATTAGCATGGGACTAAGTACGCCTCCCTGAGGTGTGCCGAGTTCAAACACTTGTATAAGAACTCTTAACACCCCTGAAGAAAACCTGAGCCGATCGATTGGACAGATACATTTGAATCCATGTTAACAGTTTTCCCTGAATACCAAAGCTAGCTAGTTGCTCAAGGATCATTTCTCTGTTTGCAATATCAAAGGCAGATTGAAGATCAAGAAATACGGTTTTGTTTTTGTTAAGTACTCTGCAAAACAATGTTGACTGCTACGTCCTGGGAGACATCCATACAGTCTGGGGGATAACTTAGCATGTATACGCTACATGAGTCTATTCAGAATTATTCTCTCAAGCACTTTGCACAGACAGGAGGTCAAGGTAATTGGTCTGTATTTGTCAGTGTTGGGTTGGGTATAGGGATGATTAAACTTTTAGTCCAGGAACTTGGGAGGATTCCTTGTGATAGGCTTAGTCTGTACAGGTGTAAGAGTGGGTTACCTGGCACCTGAGCAATGAGGTGAAGAACGCTCTAAGTAATACCATCCTCGCCAGGGGCTGTTGCCTTGCCTTTCAGGACATTACTCAGTTCCCACTCGGTTATTTCGGCAAAGTCGGACGGGTCAATAGCATCACAAGCTACTGTTATATTGAATTTTCTATCTATTTTCGACTTGTCGAGTAGATCTTTTATCCCTTGCGGAAGTGAGCTCAGCTGAGAATTTTCAGCCCACTGCTCCAGCAGCATATTAGCTTGTTCTTGTGGGAAGTGAAACTGCGGTGTTGTGGGAGCTTTACCTGTCAGCCTATTAATCTTCCTCCATACATCAACTATAGAAGTTTGACGATTGATACTTGAATTGTTCCCAGTGTTTACTACGAATCTCAGATTTCAGTTCTCTGAGATCTTCATTAGCTTTAAGAAACTGCATAAGATTGCCTGATGTCTTATTCTCCTTATAGCAATTGGCAAGGTCCTGAACTCGTCTACGTCCCTTGGCCAGCCGCCTGTTCCCTGACGTTACGGATCGCAGTAGATAATCCACGGACTCCTCCGCCCTGCACGTTGAGGTGGCTTGGCTGTTTTCCAGTGTGTCTGCGCCTATTTTCAATAAAAATTATTTTATACTCCTATGACTTACCTTTCCCATTGGTACGTGATTTACCTCTGTATCTGCTTCTACTATACATAACACTTCTTCTACGCTACTTACTTTATATTCCTTATTTGCCTTGTTTTATTTGTGCAATTTCGTCTTCGACTAATTCACCTTAGCTTTGTTTTTCTCTCGTTTTCCCCTTTTTGTTTCTCCGTTTTCTCTCACGGATTCCTTCTTTCACTTTTTCGTACTTTCCTGTCATTTATCTATTTTATCTAATTTGCCCATTTATGTATAGTTTTATTTATTTATTTATTTTTATTTCTTCTATTTCCAAACTTACCCTAGACCCACTGTACACATTCAACAAATGAAATGAATTGCATTATGGGTAACATCTCACCAAGCGTCAAGTCAGTTCGGTCTAAGAGAGAAAGGCTTTTGTCTTGTGTGGTGACAGACTCTCTGGATTTTTAACTGGCTGCCTGTACTTCTCGTGCTGTGGCGGGTTGCCTCTGTTTTCTAAGCAATTATATGGTGTGTTGTGCGAAATAAATGTATATTATGGGAGCTATTTTTTAATGTTGCCTTTTCGTCAGCCAGTGATGTTATTTTATTTTTCTTTATTGTGAATACGGGGTCATTCCTAACTCACCTGAGAGTCATTGCCAATTAGGACAAACCCACGTGGACATTACCTGTAGTTGGATAACACGCTACCAAACCAACATTCATAGATCTACGGAGTTTATGATTATCCACTACAATCATTATTATCATCATCATTTTTATTATTGTTATCATTGGTGTCATTAACAGTATCATTATCATTATTGTATTTAATAATATTGTTGTTATTACTGATATCACAGTTATTGTAATCTCCATTATTAATATTGTTATAATAATGATATTGGTAAAGATAATGATAGTCATTATTATAATGATTGTTATTGTTACCATTAGTAGAAGTAGTGGCAGTAGCATTGTTATCACGATTGTTATAATTAACATTACCATTAAGTTGTTAGTTACTATCATTATTGATATCATTAATAATAGTGATAGCAATAGTGATACTACTACTGATGATGATAGTGATTGTCGTAATAGCACTATATCATTATTATTAATATTATTATTATTGTTATTATTATTAGTAGTAGTAGTATCATCACTATAATCATTATTATTATCATTATCATCATCATCAGCAGCAGCAGCGATATCATTATTGATAGCAATAATGATAATAGTAATAATCAAAATGATAATAATGACAATGATAGAAATTATAATAATCATAATGATATTAATCGTAAACTGATGATAATAATCATATCAGGGATAACAACACCAATGATAATGATAATAGTAATAACAACAAATAGTGATAACGATATTAATAGTAATAACGATGGTGATGATAATGATAATCATGATACTGGTAAAAACAGTGTTGGCATTATAATACCTATAGTAATATATGTAAATCCATATCCCCCTATTTCTTTTTCTTTATTCCTCTCTCTCTCTCTCTCTTTCTCTCTCTCTCTCTCTCTCTCTCTCTCTCTCTCTCTCTCTCTCTCTCTCTTCTTTCTTTCTTTTTTTTTCTTTCTTTCTTTTCTTTCTTTCTTTCTTCTTTCTCTCTCTCTCTCTCTCTCTCTCTCTCTCTCTCTCTCTCTCTCTCTCTCTTCCTTTCTCTCTCTCTCTCTCTCTCTGGACAATGACTATGGGAAGGAAAGCCACCTT